GGTTGCTAAGAAGACAGTTTAAAGGCAACCATGTGCTCTACATGTACCTCAGATGTGTCTTGTCTTTGTCCGCGTGAAGACCTTTTCGAGTGTCAAGCAAGGAATTTTTTAAGGAAACGCTAAGAGTGATGGAATCGACGATTTCATCACTGTTTGCAGCATTGGATTCAAACATGAGAAAGAAATTCATCTTTATTGGAGATTTTCAGGATATAGAATCCAGTTTATATGTCAGATACATGTGACCAAGTGACTCCAGAACTTCTTTATTCTTTTAATGATGCATACATTCTCATATTCTTAGGAATTCTATTTGGAAATGTATATGGATTGTACAACATTTGGAAAGTACTTTGGGATGAAAAGCACTACAGATAATATTTTCCAATGTATTGTCTATGCTTGGAAATTGAATTTTGGATGAGGAAATATCGTTTGATCTTGAAGCTCGTTTGCAGAAGACTGAGGATGTTTATGTAGACCACTGCATGAACTTCATGAAGTAATTACATCATGTGCAATCATTTTTTGTAATTATTCTAGTTGGCTCAAGTACATCTGTGATTGGATTTTGGTAATAACATTTGTTTCACGCTTCATATGGTTTGTCATGGTCATTCTGGTGACGTAATTCCCTCCACATTTGATGCCATTCTGTTTTGACTGCCTCATTATGCAACGCACCATCTCCAGAGGCACATCTTTGTTAAGCCTGAATTATCAAAATGACTTGATTCAGGGAACTGAGCTCGATCATGTCACAGCTAACTCCAGCTGATTGCAGTGAAGATGCAAAGAGTGGATTATTTCACCATTCCACCATTTTATAGCAAGCTATTATCCCATGCAAACTAGGGTTTGTCCATGAAATAGCCCACTTTTAGACAAAATAGCGTGCTACTTAATTCACAAGGTGCACTTGGTCAGTGCTTTGTTCTATATTTATCCAGCTAATTACTTGAGGGAGTTGACAGTGCTCAACTTTGGATACTGTATAAGCAGGGAAATCCAAACTTGGAAGCCGTTTCCTCAAGAAGCACTGATTGGTGCAATGTTTCTACCTCCAGATTGCTGTGCTGGGGTTAACAGAGGACGACCTCTAGAGACTTTCTGCAGAGAGAGGCAAAGGAACAAATTAAAGCCCTACTGCACTTCTTATAGCTACTGGCGCCCTCTATATAGCAAACAATGCCTAATCGGTGACCACTGGTCCCCCATGATTCGCCTTTTCTGATGTTAATTGAGAGCTGATTTGATGAGATAACCACTTGTCAGTGACCTTGCAGGGAGGTCTTATCCCTCCTGTAAACTAGTACAGATGGGCTTTAATATTTATAGCCGCTGTACAAAACTGAAGAACCACCGTTGAGTAGGAACCATTACTTCTCTTACCCCAAGTGATCCTACCTTAAAGCATCTAGCTTTAATCTAGCCCTTGTCTCTCTAGACGAATATCATATCTTTACAACCCTGTGCTAAAAAGTAAGAATCACAGTGCTGTAGGAACTATTATATTCTCTAGCCCCAAGTGTTCCAAACCCAAAGGACCAACCTCTTGTCTTTACTTGAATATTGAATCTAAACCCATGTGCTGAAAATTGAAGAAAAACAACATGTCATTGCCTAGAAACCGTTACGTGTACTTCTCTAATTCCCCAAGGATCAAGGTCTTAACCATGCTCTTGTCTTTAGTCGATTATTGAATCTACATAACCTCTGCGCTAAAAACGGAGAACCACCATTGCGTAGGAACCATTACTTCTCTTTCTTTCCCGTTGTGTTCCAATCCCCAAGGATCGAGCTCTTAATAAAGCCCTTGTCTCTCTGGTGGAATATTGACCAGCTAAAAAGCCAGATGTTCTGTGTATGAAATATATCTCCTCCAAGATTTGTTCGTGTAGCTGGCATCCGAGAGTGCATTCCATCTCGATGCACTCTGGGGTTCAAATTTTGGTTACCTCATTGTCAGAGTTCAGAAAGATAAAGCAGAGAGAGAATAAGTGGAAGAAGGAAGTTTGTAGCTGTTTAGGCATAGGGGGAATTTGTAGAAGAAAAAAAATTACTTGTGATTTTGGGCATAGAGAGAATTGGTGGATGGTGGGATTGGTTGCTGTTTTGGGATTTTAAATCAAAGAAGGAAGCTTGTTGTTGTTTGGGCATATATAGAGAGATTTGATGGAAGAAAGGACTTTATTGATTGCTTTTGGGACATACAGACAATTAGTGGAAGAAGGGACATTAATGCCTTTTGGACATCGAGGGATTTAGTAGAAGAAGGGAGTTAATTTCAGTTTTGGCATTTAGATATTTAGTAGAAGAAGGGAGTTAATTTCAGTTTTGGCATTTAGAGATTTAGTAGAAGAAGAGAGTTAATTTCAGTTTTGGCATTTAGAGATTTAGTAGAAGAAGGGAGTTAATTTCAGTTTTGGCATTTAGAGAATTAGTAAAAGAAGGGAGTTTGTTGCTGTTTGGACTACTTGAATATTTGTTTTCCTTAACTGATCGACACTAATGAATAGACCCATTAGTTTTTATTTTCAAGGAAAACGATTAGAAAATCACTTTTGTATAGGATTTCCAAACAATTGTAGACTTGTCTTCCGTCACGTTTCAGATTGATTTTTTTTTCAATTGCATTTTATAAAATTAGATGGTACCTTTAAACCATGATTAGCTAGGGCAAAATTTGGCTCCTCTTCTGGCTATTAGGTTCCTCGAGGGCACCGGTGAAAAGTATCCATTAACGCCACGTTCAAAATCCATCACAACGTCTTCAGTTTTGCCGGAATATCGCCCTAAAAGAAGCTGTACATTGTGTAAGGTTTATTAAAATAATCGTGGGTATGTGAATTATTTAGCTAGGCTATCACTTATCATGGGCAGATATCAGAGTCAAATACATCTTTGCCGGTCAGGGTTTGTGGTAAGAAAACTTGTTAAAGAAAGCAAGTAGCGGACTTCAAATGCCCACATCATGATGCAAATGGAAACACGAGCCCGCGCTGTGAGCCTCGAAGCGTGAATAGTGTGATAACCCAAGGGAGGTGTCACAAATGGAAAAACTTCCGAAGACTTTGTGCGGTCTCCAAGCTTTGATTCACCACAGTATAACCTGCTTTCCTCAAGGAATTACAAGTACATCAAGATTTTATACAGTGGCGTAGCTACCAGGGGCATAGATGTGCCCTTTCTCCTTGAATGTTAAAAAAAGGGGGGGGGGTGGTAATAGAGAGAGAGAGAACTATAAGGAAGAGGGAAGTGTAATGCAAAGGAAATGATATGACCCTCCCTTTACTATCCCTTTACCCTTGTTCCATTGAATGACCATATTCTTTTGTATTTCATTCATCTGAATATTTTTATATCCTCCTTAGTGATACTTGTGACCCCTAAATGGCTAGAACCATACACAGCTGATAACAAAGTCCTATCTTTACATTTTTCCATCTGTTATGATGCAAAACCTTGTATTACCTTTAAGGGAACTTTGAGTATCTTTCATTTAAAGCCCATCTGTACTAGTTTACCAGAGGGATTAGACCACCGTGCAAGGTCCCTGACAGGTGGTTATCTCATAAAATCAGCTCTCACTTAACATCAGAAAAAGAGGATCATGGGGGACCAATGGTCACCAATTAGGCATTGTTTGCTATATACAGGGTGCAAGTAGCTATAAGTAGGCAGTGGGGCTTTAAGACCATTTGGGTTCAAGCTTTTGTGCTCAAGTCAAGTCAGTTTCTTCTTTGAAGATTTTCAGTGATTCATTTACTTTGTAACAAAGGGGAGAGGGGGCAATTACTCTCTTTGTTTGGTCTATTTCCCTAGCGTTACAGCTTTTAAGCACCTGCTGTCTTGTGCAGTATTTACCTATCAGCTCAAAAGAGTTAAAAACAAACACTTTCCATGTCTGCAGTGGTGTGCATCAAGTCATTCATTTTGGAGTCTCCATGGAAGATATTAACCTCTCCTGGGAAATTTCTTTTTACATTTGTTCCCTGCAACATGTGGCCATTTTCTGCCCCGTTATAGGCTTTATTGTGAAAATGGCAACCTGCATAATCATGGCATGTAGAGAGTGTAGGTACTTTCTTTAACAATTGCAGGTATTTCTTGGGCAGAACCTTGAGGCCCACATGAGGGTTCCTCTGTCTGTGTGTGTGTCCACTGTGGAGTTTGCTTACATCATGAGACACTCATAATATAAAACGGATGGAAATACTGGACTATATAACCGCTTTCAAGACTTGCAAGTGCGGATTTCGTTTTCAAGTTGAATTTGGAAAGCCTTTATGAACTTTGTTTATCTGTGATTGGTACTGCTACTTGGTTATAAGAATCTTATAAATTGCTGATTTTGTTTCAACTTTAATTTGGAAAACCATTAGAATATATTTATATGTGGTTGTTGCTGTTACTCCAATATAAATATCAGTCTCACTGCCACATTGACTCAAAACCAACAGATTTCTATCCTATTCAGGGTAATGTATTGTTAAGTTCTAGAATAATGTATTGTTATTCATTGTTCGTTGGAGCACTAAGAGCATGACGGACATGAGCGCTCTTTAAACAATCACCATCATCATTCTTAAATTCTTAAGTGTGGTCTGGTGTCAGTCCTATTGTTGTGACAATAGGGTATTCACGGTGTACAATCTTGACAGGACAGAGTTTGTGTTATTCTTGCAATAATAAAGACTGTCCTTTTTGTAAGTTTTGAGCTATTTGTCTGGCAAAAATGTTGATTTACTCTTGATCTTGGTCTGAAATAACCTAGATCTTTTTTCTTTTTGTTTTTCTTCTTGTTTTTGTTGTGTTTTCTCCTCTATTAACTGGACAGTTTTCCTTTAATCCTGGAGTAGACCCCTTCCATGTTAAACCTTGGATAGTCGCATGACCTCCTGAAATTGGAAAGAAAGTTTCCTGTAATTTGGACTGCATTCAAGAACCAAATTTACTAGTAAGCAGTCCTAGTATAACCCCCCCCCCCCCCCCCCCCCCCCCCCCCCCCCGTTTAATGGGCGTATTCATGCTCGGGTATCACATTTTAGGTCAAAGTTTAGCTCCTCAGACCTTTAATTTCACCTTTCAGTCTGGTGTGAGATTCAAGAGTTTTCTTGCAAAGTTCTATCTACGATCAACAGACTGGTAGTTCTACAGAGGTAATAAACCGTACTTCATTTAATAGTCTTCAAAAGGACAAGTAGGGTATTTTCTGTAAGTGCAGTAGCCGTGCAGTCAAATGCATTGTACCAGTAAGATTTGGGCTTTTACAGGAAAGAATGCATTGTGCCGTTTGTTTTTTTATCAAGAAACTCTTTTCTTCTTTTGGTTGAGTATATCAGACTAGGATAATCATCTTACGTTTGATGTTCTTAATCTGCAAGCAGTGAAACCATATAATATAATATTCTTTGTATGTGGACTTTAAATGCAAAGTTGTAGCCAGTGATTGCATATATAACCTCTTATAGATTACAACAATGGACTTATCAAAGACGTATGCTGAAGCAAGAAGCCACAGGAGCTAGGCAATGGAATATTTTGTATTAATTTGGAACTGGACTTGTTCATCACGCTGACTATATCAGTTTAAATATCGAGGTTGAAAGAAACTGAGACATCTTTATGGATAGTTTGATTGTGAGTTTTGCTGATCCTGACGAACCTATAGACTTATATTGACAAAATGGGAGCAGCATACAGTGTGAGAAAGGAGAGCTTTGACGACGGGCACATGACCCGTATGGAAGCGGTAAGTTGAAGCATTAGGAGAAGATTAATTAAAAGGGAAGATAAAGGAATGGATGGTAAATAATGTGTGCAGGCTTGATTTGGATGCACTTATGGTTCCATCTGATGTTGGGTTAAGAGCTTAAAATTCACTGTATAACAACTAGTGGTAGTGGTAGGGGTAAGAGTAGTGGTCGTAGTAGTAGTAGAAGTAGTAGTAGTAGTACAGTAGTAGTAAATATTAGCGGTAGTGGAAGTGGAAATAGTAGTACCGGTAGTAGTAGTAGTTGGAGTAGTAGTGGTAGTAGTGGTAGTAGTGGTAGTAGTGATGGTAATGGTAGTGGTAGTGGTGGTGGGAGTATTATAGTACTAGTAGTAGTAATTACTGTAGTAGTAGTAACAGTAAGAATAATGATGGTAATAGTGATGATGATGATGATGGTAATTGTGATGATGATGATGATAGTGGTGATGATGATGATGGTGGTGGTGGTGGTAGTGGTGCTAATGCTAATGCTGATGATGATGGTGATGATGACGCTGATGATGGTGATGATGATGGTGATAATGATAATCGTCATATCATTTACAGAATATTATTACTGCAGAATACAAAATTTAAAGAGAGGGTTTAAACTATTAAAGGTATTACAAAGTTTTGGTATGGGGTCATGAATTTAGTTCAAACTAACGTATTGGAAGCATATGCGATTTTACAATATTCTATGATCGTTGTCGCGGTTGAAATCGAGTCTAAAGTGATGAAATTGTGAATAATAAACTCTTTATGTTGTATAGCGCCCTCTGATATTACTTTAGCTCTAAAACAACGTTTTTAGACTACGATCGACCAATTTGCTATTCCCGTTTGGAAATTATACATAAAAACTGCATATTCTGAGATTTTCACTGTCGCAGCTACCAAAGAATGGCCTTAGGTGCTATTTGAATATGTTTGAAATTTACCGGGAGCACCAGTAAATGTTTGATTATTCAATTTCTTGAAAGCAGAAGTGTTTTAGAGGCAAATTTTTGTAGTGCTTATAATACATCCACAGAGGCATCCAAATATATCAAAATTTTAAAGAATAACTAAAATCTGATTTTCCAAATTTCCCAAAACTTCGCATTACCTTTAAGCAAAGATACGCATCTCAAGAATTTTGTAATTCACTTTTTGGAATTTGCTGACTTGATCAAAGAAATGATATCATTCCATTATCTTGATGCAGTTACAGTGAATGTGCCATCAACGGCTAACGAAGGTACTAGCTTGGTCGGCTACAGTCAAACTTCTCCAAGTAACTGATACGGCCGGGTTTGTAACCGTATACTAATGCCGTCCAATAATTCTAATGGCCGTATACTTCGCATACCTGCCGGTCCATGACACTCGGGTGGAATCGTATGCAACTGCAATATCAATTTCATATTAATGAGAATTAATGAGACGTTCATTCACATGGCTCTGCTACTAGCTCCACACGTAGGTTCATAGAGAACCATATTTATTTGATTACCGGTAACCTTGTTACTCCCGATCTGTGATGGTATGCTACTATGAGCTTGCTTTTGTTTCTCTTAAAGAGAAGCTTTAGTTTTGTTTGCTTTTCTTTGTATTTTTAATATTAGTGTGGAAACATACCTCAGATAGAATGTCCTGTGCTGTCATATTAAATAATGCAACAGTGAATGGCTAATATTTTATGACCAAACTTTCATGCACGTTCGCGTAGTACCATATATTTATGTGTGCAGTGCACGTGCCTTCTAGCAAGACTGGGTCCATTTCTCAGATTGATGATTCCATCACGTCACAGTATACACATATTCTTATGTGCTATATACAATCAACTTTTTTTTCTTCCAATTAAATTGCTTCCGGACAGTCTCATTTTCATTGCAATTGCCTGAACAAAACTTAACTAGATCTGTCTGTCTAGTAGTAGCAATCAGGAAAGCTTTATTATATGGTGTAAGGTATTGAAATGATTAAATTGAAAGCCATGCATAATAGCCCGTTCAGACTACAGAAAATTCATACAAAACTCATATAAAGAAATGTTGTATAGAGAATCATTGTATAGCAAAATAGCTATACAAGTAATTCTGTAAGTCTGAAAGTGGGGATAATGTACTAGTAATCTAAGTACAAATCTATTGGGGTGTCGTTTCTTCTGTACTTAATCAGACATCTTGGAATAGGTGTTGGTTGGCTATATAAACTTCTGTTCATCCTGCATCCCTCAGTGGAAAGTTGTGTCAGTATTATTAAGTTTGATAAATGATGAGACAAAGATCTTTTAGACACAGACTCAAAACGCCTTCAGGTCGCTCATCTGCATCGATCAATAACAAATTACATCTCTATGTAATGTACAAATGCAATATAAAAACGTAATATACATATGTAATTCTCAATTGTGTTGTGCAATTGTAATTACTTGTGGTTAACCTAGACAAAACGTTATTGCAGCTAGCAGAATACCTGGTAAGGGATCATTCTTTCTAGTTGCGACTATAGCAGGATATAAATGCAGCTTCTAGCTAGCAGCAATATTATTGTGTAGTTTATGACTTTGTGATGGAGGACCTTGCAGTTTTTATCAAGCAGAAGAATAAATCAAAGGTATGTGTGATCGAAAGAAATGTCTAATCCAGGGCCTCTAAAGTATATTCTGTTCAATTTAAATTTAAACATATCGTTCCTATTTTCACGAAGTGACGGTAGTGAGGAAAATCGGCACGCAAGTTGTATGCGATTTTCATTCACTACCATCACTTTGTGAAAATAGGGACGAAATGTTAAAAGCATACAGGTAAGCAGATATCAAACATTATTAATTGAATGAAAGGTTTATACTGACAAAAAAGATTCATATGTTACGTTTTGCACCAAAGTGCCTGGATAACCATGCAATTTTAAAACTATATCTCATGGCTTGTCAATAAGTATCCGGATGGCCATGCAGTATTTCTCCATATCTAACGGTTTGAGGTGAGCAAATGCGTAAAGCAGTGAATAGGCAATTAAAAACAATGGATGCGTGTCTGCAGCCCTTGAAAAAGGCTTATTTGTAGACAAACACGTTTTCCTCCCTGTTTTCAGTGTTGAAGTTAATTAAAAAAGAGAGGACTTTTTGAGGAAAATAGATGTAGTGGATACCATATAATTGATAATAATATTGAATGGATTTTCTTTCGTGTGATACAAGGGTATATCGCACTTGCTTTGGAGATATTTCGTTGCCGACTGGTAAATTATGCTCATCAACTCATGGGCTATATCTGCTGTTTCCAACTCAAGGCCATTCAATATTATATACACACTGCATAATGTTGCAGGTAGGTCTGAAGCAATGTATGAACAAATATTTTCCGACAAGCAGGAGGTTCGTGTACAGGATAATGTTAGAAATTACACGATTATGCCAACAGCGACACAAGTGATTGACTTGCATGTACCCCGTTTCACAAAACTTGTCATTAGTGACAAATGACAATTTTTGTTACAAGCAAGTGAAATCCTTGCTTCTGATTGGTTATCAGCAGATTTGTCACTGACTTTTGTCATCTTTCATTGAAAAAGGGCTTTGTGAAACAGGTTCCTGGAATATGTACCAAAAGCATGTCAAAAGATCAATATTTGTAGGATAATAAAATTGGTATCAATAAAGTGAAATGACACGTTCAATAACAATTCATGTTCACAACTCCACAATTCTATGTAATGTATAGGACACCAATTGACCAAATATCTTGGACTTTCCCTATTATTCATAGTGGGGCACTTTATGAATATCATACAAATGTACATTTCTATGGAAATTAAGATTAAAAAAAGGTGGAGCAAAAATACAAAGACGAAATCAATAAATGATTTGATACAAAAGTTCAATTGATTTATTTATTCATTCTTGGAAAGTCGAGTAAGAACACACAAAACATGTATTACTGAGATCATTCAAAGATTTATGTAAAAAGTTTATAAGCATTTACATTTATGAAATACATTTAAAGTTCTTGTATACATTTAAAGTTCAAATGGCCATTAAACATGGACCATGGACATACTGATTTGTGTTCTATTGAAAGCAGCTGTTTTTTTTTGTTTTTTTTTGGGGGGGGGGATGATTTAATCCATTATTCATGAATCAAACTTTAAAAACAGTTGCTCAGTTTTTTCACAAAAGTTATATACAGATTTAATCTTACAATTCATTATTACGGCTAAAATAATCAAAGCACTTTGCACAGAGGCCTACTTCATCATTCTTAAGGCACTTCAAAACAAAAATCACTGCTGATCCTGATGCCTTAGAACTATTTAAAATTTATTAAGGACAAATTATTATGCATGAAAAATGCTTCACTGATAATAATTATTTGAATGGGTTGTAAATCCTCTGAATAATGACTTGAGGGATGTATATTTACAAAATATATATAAAGTCGACGATAGACTTTGAAAAAAAATTTCATTCATATTGTAAAGTGATTCAATCTTTTCCAATTATCACTTGCATATATGTTTCGACTCAGAGAAAAAGAATGAAACCTATAGCCTGTGAAATTGAATCAATACAGAGAGTGTAGGAAGGTTCAATAAATCATAAAGGGAAGCTTCTTTTTTTTAAATACAGAATATACCAGTAGTGACTTTTACAAATTAAATTTCACATCGTGAAGTGATTTTAATAATCTTTCCTAATTGTGGTATATGCACGAGTCAGAGAAAAGAAAGGGTGCAGGCTCATAGCTTGTTAAATTTTATTTTACTGTAGAGAATACAGGAAGTTTTACACATCAAGGAAGCTTTTTTAAATATAAAAAATGGCAAATACATGTATTTGACTTTTACAAATTAATTTTCACATAATAAAGTGATTTTGATAATCTTTCCTAATTGTGGTAATTGATAAGTCAGAGAAAAAAAGAGAGATGAGGGCCTATAGCCTGTGAAATTGAATTCAAGCGGCCAAGCAACCATCGTCCTAGCTGTCACGCTTCACTGATCATACG